CACACAGTGAAGGATTTGTAAAGAGTTGAAGGTTTCAAAGAAAAACACACATTTTCATGCAAACTGAGCAGATGAGGTCAACATCTGGCATCCACACAAAGACAATAGTGTGCAGCACTTATGAGTGCTTTTCCTGTCCCGAAGCCATTTGATTTCAAAGGGACAGACACAATATCCTGAACATAAGTGAGCGGGATTAATGAATTCCAAAGCAATGGAGACAGAAAATCTTGGATGGAAGACAGGGAAGAAAATACAAGAGAAAGACAGACAGACAAGCCAAAAGACAAAGACAAAACCGAAAAAGAAAGACAGTCAGTAAGTTGACTTTCCTCACATACAGAGCAGAAGAGCGGACAGACCAGAGTGACAGCAGGAAGGCCAAGAAAAGGCAGAGTAAAACAGCTTCTAAAAAAAGAGTGAGAGGTGGCAGCAGAGACAGAGAGCAGAGCTCATCCTCTATTCCTCTTCATGACTCAAAGGCGGCCTGCATCACAGTCCTCCCTGTCCCCTCGCTGCAGTTGCAGCCAAACTTTCACAGAGTTTGGGTGAGGAACATGCACATTTGTGTGTGCGCGAGTGAGTAAGTATGCGCACACTCTATTTTTTTTGCACTTTTATATCACTAGAAGTCGAAGTCGAACTGTCATTCAAACCTTCCTTTTAGGCAAAGAGTGGAACTTCAATTACCTGTCTGGGTTGATTTTATGGCAAATGATCACCATGAGAATGTCCTTAATTGAGAGCAACTGTCCAACATAAGAGAACATAACAACATACTGAAGTTTGTTTTAATATCTAATTATTTTCACCCATAAAACATGGTGTATAGAACTACTTTATAAAGTCAAAGTATATTTCAGTTTTGACACAATGCCTAGCATATGTGAACAGCCAAAGGCATAGCCTTTTAAAGTATACTCCACTCAACAGAGTGCGTGAACACAGGCAGTCAATACGTGCACTACAAAGTTTAATCTCTGTCCAATGTCTGCACTATTTCTCTCCAGAAGTTATGACCAATACAAATGTATTTTTACCCATTTAAACGAGAGTGTAATTAATTTTAACCCCCTCACACAAGCACTCATCAGCGGGGATGTTCATTGTTACCTTCCCGAGTAGTTTGCTGTTGTTTCTTTTTGTGAAACTGTGAAACAACAGGCCGGGCCAGTGTTGCTACCCTGTGGACAAATGCTTGTGGCGAGCTAAACGTACAGAGTATGCATGGTTTGAAAAAAAAAAACCGGGCAGCATGTTTGCAGTACACACACGTTGATGATGAAATTTACAGCATGTGCACTGTATGCATACCCTAGCATACACGTAAATAATGAATTTCACTTTGGGGTTTGCGCTACTAATACAGAATCTTGTTTAGAAACAGACCAGGATGCCATTACAATTTCACAATAGTCAACCAAGTCTCCGTTACTAACTGCTAGTAATGATGTCTTCTTGAGCCATTTTTCTTGATTGTTATCCTTGAATGTATTTGTCATTTTTATCTGATTTGCTTATCCTGATTTAATTGGCCAATGTTCTTTTGTAGTGGTGAAACAATTTACTGAAATAATTGTGTTGAAGAGATGTAAGGTGACTTCAAGACTTCTGGACTTATTGACCAGTTACAGAAACTGAAACACCTTCATTTGTCGGCCAAGAAGAATCAAGAATTCAACAGCACTGCCATATAATATGAATTAACCAACACAGTCCTTTTGGCTTTTATAAGGTGAATATTTAAAAAATCTAATCAGCTACTCAAAATTGTCTTCAGCCCAACTGTCAGTTAGTAGACTCAGTTTGTTAGTAACTTTAATACAGAATTCAGCAATGCAATCAGAATGTACGTATAATTTCCTTAAACAAGACTGACAAGATTCACACTTCTAAAAGCACACCAGAAATCTTTGCATTAAAAAAAATGTTTTTTTTTTTTTTTTTTTTATGTAGATGTATTATTAAATTAGCTAAAATGCCTAATAGTGGCATAGGATCTTTTAAAAGGCATATGGAAGTTTTCAGCAAAGTTTTTGAAAATCACAGATTTTAAACAGAATAGTAAATATAACCCCCAAATTTGAGTACATCCCATTGGATTAATGTATATTTGTCAACACTCTATTTAAAACTACTCTTTCATCGTCCCTTGTATACCTCACTCCAAGAGGGATTCCCTGTGGCATGTGATCCGTCTGCCGGCTCTGTCGCTCGATAATGTGGAGAAAGAGCGGCAGAGAGAGATTGCAACACATCCCTGAATGCTGGTACACTCACTTGTACAAATGAGCTTAATGCTGTCGTGCGTGATGCATGACCTGGCCATGCTGATAAAAGGATGGAAAAGGAAGAGAGGGAAGTGTTGGGATGGGAGGGGGTGACACTAATGCCCTGATGGCCTGATGTAATGGCAATGGTTATTGAGCGGATGATGGCGTTGTTGTAAGCAAGTGCGGCTGCGGTCGAGGGAAATAGACTAACAGGTGCTGATGCTATACGCTCGCAGCTCCGAGGAGAGATCTATTCATCTTCGGCCTGCCACGGTACAGGACGACAGCAACCACTGGGACTCCCAGATTCGTAGGAAGGAACAAGATGCTTACTTTTATTTGTTTGCTGAATGCAAATACAAACACATATACACTGGGGCATAACTCCAGATATACATTTGGTTTTCCTACCTTACTGTTGAGCAAAATGGACTATATGAAGTAGAATATTTTCAGATTACCGCTTTTCATAATAGTGCACACATGAATGACTGCCCTAACTTGCAGTTCTTTTAAATTCATCTGTATTGTCTTCTTATCTGGCTAGCTTTTCTAGGCCGTGGCCTGCACCATTAAAATGCAGCCACGCATGAGAAGTGCCTGTTTTCACGCCAATTTCACAAAGCTCCGGGATCCGCAAGAGCGTTTAGCGTTATCAAACACACACTAATAAATCATGCTCTCTTTTCTCATGTCAGTTGCTAAAGAGCAATGAAAAAAAAAGCGAGAAAAGCTGACAAGAGGCATAAAAAGATGGAGAGCAAGAGGGAGAGCGAGTATGAGAGAGTAACAATAGTAATGTGCGCGGGGGGAGTCAATTGGCATGTGTAATTCAGCGCAGCCTTTTCATCTCTGTGTAAGATACTCCAGACAGATAAGGTGTCTAATCCTCTGCCTGATCAAAAAAAATCTACATTTTGCCAATTAAAGGGTCCTTGCCAGCAGCCAGATAGGAGTCCGCCTTCCAACTCAGTTTATCTCCCCCAGCACAGGGAAGAGCACAGAGTAGCTTAAATGTGCTATTTTTACCATACACACACAAGGACATAGACCACCCCACAGCGCCACCATCAGTCAGAACCATCATGAGGGTGGAGGGAGAGACAGAGTCTGAGAGAGAGAGGATCTGAAATTATTTTTTGCCAAACAGCAAATGGACCCGGGGGGGGGGGGGGGGGAAAATCTCCCTTAGAGGAGTTGACAGCTCTCTTGGTGAGTCGACTCTTCTGGAGCTTTATGGAATCCAGCATCGACTCTTTCCTCTATCGAGACGCAGCGCTGTAGAGTAGAGTAGAGTAGAGTAGAGTAGAGTAGAGTAGAGTGGAGTGGAGTGGAGGGGGGGGGGGGGGGGGGGGGGGCTAAATATGACACAAATGAATTCTCTCAAATGAGTTAAAAATGGTATTTTACAACAAATTGAATACCAGTTCAACAGATAATGTAAAAAAATTAATACTGTTGTATGATTTTAATGGTTGGATATGGTCGAAGAAGGTCAAGACTTCAGAAGTGGGACAGTGAAAAATCACTATTTTTAGGGGGTTACAAACATTTCATGTGTCTCTATTTCATTCACCACTGGGCAGCCTAGTTTTAGCAGCAAACCCACACGCATCAGCAACAATAAAGAGCCCCTATAATTTAGAGTACCCATACTGAGAAGGAGGCAAGGAGAAAGACTGAGAGAGAACCAAGGCACCTGTAGTGGGGGTATAAGGGCCAGAGTGTTTGAAAATACAAAGGAATAAGTAAAAAAAGAAAGAAAGAAAAAGGGAAAAAATAATTAAATAAATCAGCACAAATTGACACCCGGCTGGTATATACTGACTGTGTAGAGCAGATAAGTGTGCTAAGTTGCAGATTTGATGTTTATCTTATCGAGAGCGCTAAAGCTGTGCCGATAAAAGAGCCCAGCCATGCGTCATGGTGCGAGCATGTTTCACATAGCTGAAAACGCACACCCGCATCACAAAAAAACTATATTCCAACCTAAAATTAGACTGTGATATGCAGGGAAAATTAAAATACAGTGACACAGAAATAAAATCACTGAGCCACTATGATATTTTAGAACATAATTTAACAATATAAAAAATGCTTGCACATCAATGATGTAGTAAATCTATATAAAAGTTTGATAAAACATTTGATGAGAATGTTTGGAATCTTACTTTTTTTTTTTCCTCCAAAAAATCTTATTGAGGTTGTGCAATATGGGGAGGGGCCTTATATTGCTTTGAAATATGGAGATCCAACCCCCCACCCCCACACACACCACCCTTTGTTGGATGAGATTCACTGTGGTCCACACACTACATTCATCCTATTACTGAGAAAAGAGTGATAAGAAGCCCATCCCTCACTCAGCTGAATCAGAGGAGAGGGACTCTGTAGGCAAATATTTGTATTAGCATGTGTCTTCTGATTTAAAAACAGCATAGAAAATGGCAAAATAAAACACAATAACTGAAAAATCAAAGGAATTGGAAAACAAAGAAACAAAGCGATGATAATCTGATTTGAAGAATACTGGATATTGATATTAAAAATGTATTTCATTATTATATTTATTATATTATTTATGGATATAATAATATCTGAACTGCTGCATAAAATAATTCTAATTAATATGATTTTTCAACTATTCTGCAATGTGACATTATACTGAAACTATTTTTAACTAAAATGTTCTGAATCTAAAACAATTATTATTTGTTGCATATTTTCAATTTCTTGAGAGATTACATGGCATATTTTTACTTCAAAAAATAATCAGTTACATCTCAGGGCCATTTGGTTGATGAGCAAAAAAAATCTAAATGGAGAGTAAAAGTTGTGAAAGTGTATAAGATATTTACACACTGGATTCCATGTTTTATGGGGACTCTCAATTGACATAATGTTTTTATGCTGTACAAACTGTATTTTCTATCGACTTATCCTAACCCTACCCCTAAACCTGGTACCAAAAAAAAAAAAGTCCCCACAAGGCCAAAATTTACTGGTATTACTATACACTATATGTTATACATAACGTAGGGAATATCAGACACACACACACACACACACACACACACACACACACACACACACACACACACACACACA